CCCGCTGGCTGGCTTTGTCCTGCTGCACTTTAATGAGGCCTGGGGGTTGGGGGGCCATTGGGTGTCATGGAGGAGTCTCAGGTGGGAGGGGCTGGGCAAGTCAAGGGCCTTGGCACCCAGCTGTGGTCCCAGAGAGGGTGAAGCACAGGGTCCACGCAGCAGCTGGCCTGCAGGCTGGCGGGTTCAGGTTCACGGAGCTGTGGCTGCGGCCTGTGGTGGGCACGGCCAGCTCCGGAGGCTCCCTGTCGTTCAGGACACAGGGCCACTCTCTTTCATCTTCTTACCTGGCAGGAAAGGGTGGGTTAGTGACTGGGTCCCAAACCCAGTGCCCTCACCCTGTCTGTCCTCCTCATCCCGCTGGAGGCACCGATGCGGTCACTGAGTGCCGGCTGTGTATTTGGGCTTTATGTGCACTGACCCACAGTAGCTCGTGGCCACAAGAATTATGACGTCCATTTCACAGAGGGGGATACTGAGGCTCAGGCATTTTGAGTATTTTGCCTTTGGGACGGAGCTAGTTTGGCTCAGAGCTGGAATTAGAACCTAAGACGGGTGACTTCTGAGCCAGGCCTCTTGTCCCCAGCCAAGCTTGTCCAATAGTGCTTTGAAGCTTAGAAGTCAGTCACCAGATCCCGGCGTTCTCTCGACCTTGGTTCTGGCAGGTTCTGTTGGCCACGCGGGGACTTTTCTTCTGCACAGAAGCTTCTTCCAGAATCTCTTCGCCTATCTCAGCTGAACAAGTGTGAGTAGGGTTGCTTGGGGGAGGGCGGAGAGGGACTGGGGGCTGGGGGAGGCCTGTGCTGACCTGCAGCCAGGAGGCCTGCAGTGAGGCAGGAGCACAGGCTGCAGGCAGAGCTCTGCCAGAGCCCCTGAGCGGGCCTGGCTGGCACTTGCCCAGGGAAGGTTCACAGAGGAAGGAGGCACCCTTCCAGAATCACTTCCTGGGGGTCTGGAGGGTGGTGGTGTCACCCACCGGCTGTTAGAAAAAAGGCTCCAGCAATATTTCTGTAATCACAATGCAGAAAGGTCACCCACTGTCTCCCCTTCCCTCCCAGATTCTCCAAAAAATCCAGATGAACAGATGAGGACAGTGTCCCGGCAGGTTGTAGAGAGGCGAGCATCCATCGGTGCCCACCATCTGGACCGACGTCCTGAAGCCTAGGAACGTGGCCCCTGCTGCTGCCAGCCCCCAGGCCACAGCCCGCTACTGGACAACAGTCCTCACTTATTCCAGAGGCGTAGGGTTATTCCCAGCTGAGCGAATCCCAGTTTTCACCTAAAGATCTCTCTCCTGTTTGGCTCCGTGGATAGAGCGTCAGCCTTTGGACCAAAGGGTCCCAGGTTCGATTCCAGTCAAGGGCATGTACCTTGGTTGCAGGCATATCCCCAGATTGATGTTTCTCTCTCATCGATGTTTCTAACTCTCTATCCCTCTCCCTTCCTCTCTGTAAAAAATAAATAAAATATATATTTAAAAAAAAAAAAAAGATCTCTGTCCTGGCCCGAGGAAGCCTCTTCCAGGCTTTGACCTGAGGACACTGCAGCCTGCCACGCCCCCAGGTTCTGAACACAGACAGAGAGGATGGAATCCCGGGACCTGGGGTTTGAGGACGTGCTTCTAGTTTAGGAGACTTCACAGCGGACACTGGGGCTGTGGGGACCAGCCATGTCCACTAGACCACACATCCCCAAAGAAACAGCTTGAAAGCTGCGCACAACGTGTCATTCATCCAGACCAGGAGCAAAATGCACTTAAAACGTGGACTGGAAACAACCGGACCAAGAACATAAAATAGTGCAGAATGCTTGGCCGGCGTGGCTCAGTGGGTAAGCACCGACCTATGAACCAGGAAGTCATGGTTTGGTTCCCATTCAGGGCACATGCCTGGGTTGTGGGCTCAATCCCCAGTAGGGGGCATGCTGGAGGCAGCTGAATGATTCTCGATGTTTTTTAAAAAAATATATTTTATTGATTTTTTACAGAGAGGAAGGGAGAGGGATAGAGAGTTTAGAAAAATTGATGAGAGAGAAACATCGATCAGCTGCCTCCTGCACAGCCCCTACTGGGGATGTGCCCACAACCAAGGTACATGCCCTTGACTGGAATCGAACCTGGAACCCTTCAGTCTGCAGGCCGACGCTCTATCCACTGAGCCAAACTGGTCAGGGCATCATTATTGATGTTTCTATCTCTCTCCCTCTCCCTTCCTCTCTGAAATCAATAAAAAAAAATATTTAAAAAATAGTGCAGTTTGTGTTTAATCTTCTAGTCACGATTTTACTCAGAAGCAGCCTTTAATGCATGGCAGCAGGACCCTGAGGGCCACCCCGTGGTGATGGCGTCCAGTCCCTCTGTCTTCACCCTGCGGGAAGAAGGCCCTGCAGGCTGAGGACAGGTGCCCCATGCAGGCCACGGGGGTTAGGAGCCCCAGCTTTGACCCCCCCAGGTCGTGCTGGACAACCGCACTGCTTGGTATATGACAACATAGCTTGTTCCCACCAAGGCTTTTCTCCCTGCTTTCTTTGCAAGGACTGCCCTCTACTCTTGACGTGAGGGACAAAAGCTATCTTTAGGTGGCGCTAACAGGCCTTTGTATTTTCCAGGCGCCCTTCAGCCGGCGCCCAGCACACTGGCCGGTTCCAAGCTTTGCTCTGGTTCCTGGTGGTTTGGGCCCCCCCCCCTAGAAAAGCCTGTTGAAGATGTAGCCTTGCGGTGGGAGGAGGAAGCCGGGCTCACTCCTTTCCCTCCAAGTGTAAGTAGCAATCAGCTGTGATGAGAGACATAGGCAAAGAGAAGAGGGGGGTGCTCAGACCTGAGCTGGCTCAGGGGGTTGGCCTGAACATTCAGCCAGGGTTTCAGGAGCTAATCCTCAAAAGGTGACAGTTTACAAATATTGTGACTCTGGAAATAACTTTCCAATGAAATTCGAGTTCTTCAGTGTTGGCAAGGAGACACTTTGCACAAAATGAAGGGGCCGGGTCTTCTCACACAGTGTTGGGAAGGAGGCGCGCAGAGCTGCTTTGCAGGGGACGCTTGGGAGGCGTGCAGACCCCACCCCCTTTGGGTGGCCCTCGGGAGGGGCTTCATCTCGGCCTGTGGCATGGAAGCCCCTTGTCAGCAACAGGGTCTCTCTGCGTCCCATTGAGGTTAAAAGGCTGGGTCACCAGTTCAAGTCTCCCCTTTTCACCTGCCATTTCTGAATGTTCCTTTTTTAATCCTCACCTGAGGATATGTTTTCATTGATTTATTTAGGATGAGAGAGAGAGAGAGAGAGAGAGAGAGAGAGAGACATTGATGAGTTGCCTCCTATATGATCAAACCCACAACCTGGGTATGTGGCCTGACCAGAAATCGAACCCACAACCTTTTGGTGCATGGGATGAAGCTCCAACCAACTGAGCCACCCAACCAGGGCTGAGTTTTGTGGGGTTTTTTTAACGTGTTGCAGGGAGGGAAGGCCCAGCCCGTGTTTGTTTCATGCTTCCAGCAACATGCACAGGCGGCCTGAGGCGCCCAGGGCACCTGTGCTGGGAAGGCGGGAAGTGGAACCCCCAGGGCACTGCCAGCAAGGCCAGCCCGGTGTTCCTGGCTGGACCACAGCATGGCAGCTGGGGCCGGTGGGAGTCCGGGGAGGAAGGAAACCCGTCCCACTTATTCCATCTTGATTTCTGGGGAAGGGTTCTCCGGCAAACCTTGTTGCCAGGAAAACCACCTCTTTTTATCTGAATAAACATTCTGGCTCCGTTAACCAATTCATTTGGGTTCTCTATCAACCCATCAATGACCGGGAGGTCTTTATAAACAGAGGGATGGAAGGAAGCTGAAGAGGACTCCGAGGGATGGATGTAGCGAGGCCCCAGGCTCCCCCAGAGGGAGACAGACGGCAGCGTCTGGAGCTGGAAGGGAGGTGGAAGGTCCCCGTGGAGCCCAGATCAGAAAGCCCTTAGATCAAGCGTCCAACGTCCCTTTATGCAGTTAAGGAACCAGGCCCAGAGCAATGCCAGGACCTCCCCAGACCACATGGCAAGTTCATGTTTCAGCTGGAACTAGAATCCAGGTCTGAGTTCCGGCCGGACTCAGCCTATGACACCAGACCCATTCTGGAGCCTGATTTCCTCTCTGGGGCATCGAGAGCAAAATGGAGACTGCTCTGCTGGGGTTTCCCAGTGGTTAGAGCACTGGCCCCACGGACTGAAGAGTCGTGGGTTTGATTCTCGGTCAAGGGCACAATCCCAGCCCCAGTTGAGGTGTGTGCAGGAGGCAACCAATTGATGTGAGTCTCACACATCGATGTTTCTTTCTCTCTCTCTCTCTCTCTCTCTCTCTCTCTCTCTCTCTCTCTCTCTCTCTCTC